CCTTCCTTCCTTCCTTCCTTCCTTCCTTCCTTCCTTCCTTCCTTCCTTCCCTCCCTGCCTCCCTCCCTGCCTCCCCCCCACCCCTGGATTATTAGTTTCTGCAAATCGGTTACTAATTTTATTTTTCCTAGATCATACCATTTGCACAGATGTTAGGACAATGGGAAGACTGGCAGAAGGAATGGGAAGACACCAGGAAGACTAGAGGGGAAACTATACCTCCGAAGTGATGGTGGCCTACTTTAAATAACAGCCCTGACTGCACAGCTTTGTCATCCACAGGTTCTTTCCAAGAAGCTGGGGTAATCCAGCAGGCCTACAGCTTGAATTTTCCTCTTCATGTCCTGGAAGGCGCTCCTCTTGGGCCATGTCCAGTCTGGAGTGCCTTTTCTGTCCAGTCTCCAGCTGTTGTCCTTGAAACAATAAAGCAGGTAAGGAGCCAAAGAAAAATGCAACCATTAAACTCAATTCATCTGGGCATGCTTCCTGTCTGGACCGCCTCGCAAGGTTGATATTTGTCTTGCAAGCCTTCTCTCCCCTCTTGCTTTTTCAATCCAAGAAATGAGGGGCGTGGTGTGGCCCGCCAGTAGAGCTAGCAGCAGATTTGTACAGTGAGGAGGTTGGGGAGGAACATGGGCCAGTCCTGGAGTCTCTGCATTGGAGGCAGAGATGGGGCCAGGACCGTCCGACAGTTATCAGCTGCCTTTGGAGTCGGAGATCAGTGAGGCAGAAGAACAGTTGGAGCCTGTTCCCAGTGTGTGCATGCACAGAACTGCCAGAAGAAGGGAACAGCTAAGGAACAAGGAGCGACTCGGGAGTAAAGCCACAGGTGACAGTGAATGGCCCCTCCCCTGGGGGACAAAAGAGGAGCGAAAGGGAGGTGGGGTTTTGCAGGCGACAATTAGTTCGTTTGGGTGAAAATCTGTTCCTGCATTCTTGCCAAGTATTGTCTGCTACAGTGTGGCATCTGAAAGATATCGGCCTGGCAGCTCTCCAAGTCTGATAAAGTTCTGTCATTGTGAACTATCTTGAAAGACTGTCGCCCAGGACTTTGCTGGAGAGGAATTCACTGTAAACGAAATAAAAAGGGGGTTTTATCGGGCCGCTGAGTCGGTTTCGTGCTGTTGAGGAAGCCTAGGTCAGAACAGGACATTTGTGGGCCCTTCCCTCTCCCCCAATTCCTTCTGTGGCTCAGCTGCTGCTGTCTATCAGCTTTGGAAGCCCTATTAGCATTTGGACCCCTGACACTGTCCTGATCATAGTCTAGTCCAAGGGTCTTCAAACTTGGCAAGTTTAAGACTGGTGGACTTCAACTCCCAGACTTCCTGAGCTAACATGACTGGAGGAAGAATTCTGGGAGTTGAAGTCCACCAGTCTTAAAGCTATCAAGTTTGAAAACCTTGGTCTAGTCTGTGTTTCTTCCTCCTGTTTCCCAAGGTTGTTCCCACACACCGTTCAAATTTATCACAAAACTAATGGGATTTGATGAGCTTTATGTTCAACTTGGAAGCCAGCTTAGCTTGCCAGTCCTTTCTTCTGCTTTTGGTGAACCTTTGGGTGAATCTTGTGCTCTAGGTGAAGATTCTCTTGAGTTTCATCTCTGTCCTTAGCGGCATCTCACAAGAGCAAGGCAGGAGTAGCTACACGGAAGTAAAGAATCACGCTGAGCTAACCAGGGGATCTTCTTTGGTCTCTTTCCCCAGGCTGAGGACAGGCCAGGTGCCTTGGTGGTCCGACTTTACGAGTCCTACGGCAGCACCGTTGACACCTGGCTCCAGATGGGCTTCCCCATTCAAGAGGCGGCCGTGTGAGTGGAAAGGGGATGTCTTAATGGTCAACTTTTCCCCCAGAAGCTCCTTCTCTGACACCATGACTGTCTTCTGCAGGTGTGACCTCCTTGAAAGACCTGATCCCAACACCTCCTTGGTTCTGGAAGAACGTCGATTGAAGCTTTCCTTTCGGCCCTTCCAAATACTCTCTATCCTGCTGGTCTTGAGGGGACAAAGCAGGGATTGAGGCTTGCAACAGACTGCTCTTCTAAGGACTCCACAGCTGGAGCTTCTGTTGTTTGCCTAACACAGGTGAAGAGCACCAGGGACGGATTACAGGGATGGGCTAACAGGTAGTCCTCAATTTATGATCACAGTTGGGACTGGAGCTTTAGAGCCGTGGGGGCACATTGCCTAGAATGCAGCATTGCAGGTTAATCTAATGTCCACTGTCAGCAGTTCGGTCCTGACCATCTCAAGGTTGGCTCAGCCTTCCATCCTTCCGAGGTCAGTCAAATGAGCACCCAGATTGTAGTTGGGGGCAAGAGGCTGACTCTATAAACCGTGCACAGAGTGCTGTAAAGCAGGGGTCTCCAACCTTAGCAACTTGTGGACTTCAACTCCCAGAGTTCCACACCTAGCTTTGCTGACTGAGGAATTCTGGGAGTTGAAATCCACAAGTCTTAAAGTTGCTAAGGTTGGAGAACCCCTGCTGTAAAGCACCGTGAAGCGGGATATGAGTCTTAAGTGCTATGCTGTAATTGAGCCAATTTTACAATGTTTTTTTCCATAGTTGTTAAGCAAATCATGTGGTCGTGGATCAAACCAGGTAATCATTAAGCGAATCTGTCTTCTCTCCACTCCCCCCAATTGACTGAGCTTGGAAGATCAAGAGATATGTCAAAATTTTTTTAATAATAATTAAAAGCAATTGTTGAATGAATGAGTCGAGTTTGGGGGTCATTGTCTCAACGATCTGCCTTAGTGATTTTCTGACATAGGAAAGCAACTTTTAAAGCAGGATATTTTTTTATTAGTATATAAAAACATATATATATATATTGCTGTAAAAGGAAGGCAAAGCAAGTTGAAGATTAAATCTTAGTCATTCTCTGTCCGGAAGTTTTATTCAGAAAGTTCTCTGTGTTCTGCTGGTTTTTTTTCCCCACAATAAAAAAGTTTTGAGAGGTGGCAACTATTCAAACTGCTGGATTCCTTTCTCTTCCGCTCGCTCAGAACAATGTGAAGCCAAAGGCATTTTTTTCCCCTCCCAGGCGCAGGTTTTTAAAAGCAGCGTAAGTAACATCCAAGAAATCTGTGCAACGCTAAGTTTAAACATTGGTAATTGAGGAAGCAGGAAAACATGGTTTCACGTTGTTCTCAGCTGGTCGTCTTGGATCAGAATCTCTGCATTTATCTCCCTCTGCCAGAGCGTGAAGTTGGTAATCTCGAATCAAAAGCTGCATTTTATCTCCTCCGTTGGAGCAGGACGTTCCTGCCTGAAACTCACGAGGGGTCTTCAGTCGCTAATCTTGGATCCCAAAGCTGCATTTATCTCCTCCGCTGGAGCATGAAGATCTACCTGAAGCTTTTGCAAAGATATTTCCGTGTTGAGAAGGGTTAGGAAGCCTTCACCCGTTTGGATCTCGAGATGGCCGACGCCTTAGCTAAACAGAGAAAATTAATAACAGTCATATGATCTACCTGGTAGGCTGTCAGGGTTAGGGTTAGGCAGTCACCCCAATTAAATCATGAGTCTCGAGGAGAACTTCCAAAACTTAAGAAGGATTTATTGGGAGTTAACAATAAGGATTTATTGGAAGTTGTCCGGCACTGCCTGGGTGTAGCCAACTCTGAGACACATCATTCATTGTCACCCTTGACCCTGGTTTTCCCCACCCCACCCCCTGGGTGTATCATCATTCATATTCTCCAATGGGACACCTCCATAGCTCAGAGTCATCGGTCATGTTCTCCAGTTAGAATTTTGCACGGCAGAAACTTCAGTCACCTAGTTGCTATCTTTGCGAAAATATTCATGGAATGCACTTTCAATTTCCAAGTGTCACACTGCTCTTTCAAACCCCTTCCCCCCCCTCCATTGGTAGCCCCCATAAATCCCAGATAGATCCACTTTCTCACTTTGGTTTTTCTGAGCAGGTGTTCGCCTCTTCCGTGCCGGAGGTGGAGAACTTAGCAGCGAAGACTCTTGCAAATCAGAGGATGATTTCTGAGATCTGGTCTTCGGTTCTCTGGCTCTCTTGACCATACCCTCCTCCTCCTTTATTTGTGTAACTTCATGCTCTGGCTTAAGTTTCCTTCTTCCCTTAGCTTCTTTCTCAGCAGGACTGCTGGTTGAGTCGCTCCTTGGCTTGAGAGCCTACAGAGATGGAGAAAGATGCTCAGGGGAAAGCCAGTCTACCACTTGAATGAGATGGATTCTCATTGGATCAATGAGATCTCAGGGAAAGCCAATCTGCCACTTGAATGAGATGGGTTCTCATTGGATCAATGAGATCT